TGTTGAATCCTAAGATGATTCAAAGAATGAAACCTCTTTGAGATGACTAAAAAGATAAACTATAGCAAACCATTACGGGAAGTGTAATCATAAAATATCTGTCGAAAATCTTTTTCCAATTCGAATCATTCGAAGTTACTCAGAATGGATCATGATTTTCCAGGGTTTTGATAATTAGACACTTAGAAGCTTACAGTTTTAGTACATTCTTTGTAAAAGACAGTTCAATGTAGAATATTCATATTGCTTAAAGTAGTTATCTACTTGTGCTTTGCAGATAATTCTATCTCAAGAAAAAGATATACAGAGGCTCAATGCACTTGTGAAAGAACTTAAAGAGCAGTTATTACAATGCAGAGGTAGCAATTTTACAACAAATGCCACAGAAAGAGCGGAATCAACAAATTTAAGCAGCCTTGAGGATCCCCAAATTCTTGATGACTAGTTTCAATGTTCTACTCTCTTTGACCTTTTTTGTGGTGGCAGTGAGTTGGGTTTGGTAGAAACCCTACCTGTGTTAGTTTACTGAGTTACAGGGTTATTTCCATGTTTCTTTCTCACCCTGTTGTTTGTGAAACTGTATGCCTTGCACTGTAGGGTCCCTGCTTAAAGGCTTCTAACATTAATTATGCATCGTTGTAACATAATTTATAATCAAATTTGAGTTTGGCTTGTACTTTTTATGTATTTTGCAAAATGGGTATCTTTTTTGGTGTGTGAATGCTCTCTTTTCTCTTTGCAATGAATGAATTTCCTATTTTATCGAGTTTCACAGACAAGTGTAATGAATTTCCTCTTTTATGGAGTTTTGCAGACAAGTGTTAAGATTTTGGGTGTGGCATGCATAAGGTTGCAACCTTAAACAACCCAATGAAAGCGCACCTCTAAATTTTGTTAGAGATATAATTTGGATATAAAAAATTCTTAGGATAGTTTGAGAATCTATTTCTATCACTAATTATAAAAGCTTAAATCTAAAAATGGTTCAAATCAAGTAGATCTATAAGCACATGAAAATCTTGGAAATGGACGGTCCAGATAATGTGTTGCAAGATACACTATTTCGTGGACTGGGAATCATTTTTTCTTCTTATATCCATACATGTCGATGTCGAGATGAACAATTAGAGGGTTTTTTAACATTCAAACAACTTTTTATGATGGATTTTTGAGGTGCATATTTAATTCTACATTATAAGGCTGCAACTTTATCTAAACTTTTTCTTAAGATTTTATGGTAATGGACAAATGATTTCAGAAGCATGCTTGAAGCTGTATTGGATCCAGTTGCTAACCACGTGCCCACACGGTTTGTTCTTCTTAATTTGTTTTACAGATTAGAAGTGACTTAGATCAAGAATTAGTGCACAAACATGTTCATTGGATCATCCCTTAAACCATTGAATTCAATTTAAACTGTAGATAGGATATGTTAGCTTGTTTGGTGCTTTGGGCTTAACTTACATATCTTCGACTTCCCACACCTAAATTGGGATGTCTACCATGCTAAAGGCTAAGACATTTAAGGTCAATTATATAAGATCAATGATCAAATATGTTTGCCGCATGGTTGTCTGAGATTAACTGGTTAATGATCAAATGCAATATGGTGAACAAATCGTGCTAGGAAGGCACAACCTTTGCACGAATAATAATCAAATGCAATATGGTGAACAAATCTTGTTAGGAAGGCACAACCTTTGCACGAATAATAATCAAATGCAATGTGGTGAACAAATCTTGCTAGGAAGCCACAACCTTTGCACGAATAATAACACCAACCGCGAAGTTATCCAGTCAAATATGATATGTCCGGCAAATATTTAGAGAATGGCCTGAGGCCTTAGCGGTAGTATTGTCAAGCCCTACGGTGAGATACTCCATTTTTATCAAAAGGTAGTATTTGTCGAGCTTTATGGTGAGATACTCCATTCTTACCAAAAGATAAGGGGTCTAAAGGGTCTAAATCCTTACTGATTTATCACCTTTGACTTATCAAAATAAATAAATAAATAAAAGAGTTGCGATTTTAAGTGACGTTATTAAATCCTTTTGTAATGAAACTTGAAAGAAAAGCATGAGAGGAAGTGACTCAAGTATGAATTACTGAGTTTTGAGTGGTACTTATTAACATAAAAAAAAAAAAAGAAAAAAAAAGAAGGGCACACGTGTCCTTACCTAGGGATGCCCTTAGTGGTTATAGGTTGTTTTTCTGCACAATAGACATGGATTGTGAAGAAAAACTACAACAAAGAGCTTGTTGACCCTTTTCATTCATATAAAAGCATCCCGCCCACAAATGAGTGGAAGGATACACAACAGTCGAGATTTACACGGCCACATCAAATCGCCACAAATTAATTCTATATTTTTATTTAAATAAAATAATTAATTATTTTTTGTTGTAGGTTTATTTTTATAGAGAGAACTAAATTACAAACTATTTTAAATAAAAAATCAAAATACTCCTAAATTTATTTTTATCTATATTTTTTTACTCAAAATATTTTTTTTATCGTTTTTATTTAATGCTACTTATAAAAATGAAACTCTAAAATCCAAACTTTATATTTAATGATATCAAATAACATATGTTCACTGCTATGTAATGCAATATTTATCTGTGATAATAATTGTTTTCTCTGTTGTCAAAAAATGCTAAAAAATTGTCTTAATGTAAAAAATTACTATTCAAATTATATTTATACTTAGGTACATACTTTGCAAAATATGTTAGGCCTCTAGACATGTCATATTTGTTGTTCAACATATGTTAATTTGTAATGACATTATGTAACAGGAAATAAATCAAATAACTCTAGAAATCACTCGTATCATATTTGTTGTATGATTTACTAAATTAGTGTTTAATGCATATTTAAAATTTCTAGTGATTATATAACAAAAAATAAATTGTAATTTTATAAACCACTCAATTTATAAAAGTTCTTGGAACAAAGATCAAAATAGAGATACACTTTAATTTTTACGTATTTATGTGATCAATGATCATTCTCTTTTATGTACAACATACGATGTGACGGCCCCTTTCAAAATACAAATGATATTAGGATGTAATGGAGTAAGCCGACTAATGTTGTACATACGTGGGCCCACTTAAACCTACTTTAAAACTAGATTTTTAATCTAAAATTTTAGAGATTCATGATTTAGATGATAAAAAAAAAACATTACTTCAAATAAATTCATTTGGTGAGTCAGCGGGCTCACGCATATAGCTTAACCCGACAATAAAGTGCAATATTGAAATTCTCTCCCAAATATGAAAACATCTCAAGGACATTATCGAAATGCTCAATGCGCTTGGAAAAAACAAAAATGTGGAGTCGTAATTTTAGTTATTTCAGTAAAGACGCTTCCCGCTAAAAAAAACAAATGGACCTTCCTATCTTCTATCTTCATTCAAGCCACCAAAAACCGGTCTCTCTCTCTTTCATGGATTCTACGTCTCTCTTCACCTCATTAACTCCCTCCCTTGCAGGGAAAACCAGTAAAGCGCGCCGAAATGTGGAATTGCGGTCAAAATTTACGGCCCAAATCTCGCCGGAATCTGACCATCCCCCCATTTCTCAGCTACTTTCTGGAAAAATCCGGCGACCTGGTGCCCCAATTCCGAAACTCGCCTCCAACCCTCAATCTCTTCTCGCATCTCCAAACCCCAGCCCTAACTCTACACCTAAACCTAAAACTAAACTTAATCCTCTGCGTAATTTTGCAAACCCTAGCTCCATTTCCAGCTCTTCAGACAAGCTCAGTAACAAGCTCTGGCTTAGTAGCAAGCTCAAGTATCAGGAACCAGAGATAGAAGAACAAGAGAAAGGGATAGAACAAGATGCAGAGGAAACTATAAGAGAAGAAAACAGGGAGAAAGAAGGAGAATCGATGGTGATTGAGCCTTCGTTTAGAGAAGAGGGCAAAATTTTTGTGGGTAATTTACCTCTCTGGATAAAGAAGAACGAAATTGCAGAGTTTTTCAGGCAATTTGGGCCCGTGAAGAATGTGATTTTGATAAAGGGGCATGAAGATTCAGAGAGGAATATGGGTTATTGCTTTGTTATCTATGGAGGACCCACTGCTTCCAATGCAGCAACAAAAGCTGTGGAATTTGATGGAGTTGAGTTTCATGGCAGGGTTTTGACGGTGAGATTAGATGATGGGAGGAGAAATAAGGCCAAAAGTGATGAAAGGCTGAGATGGGTTTTGGGTTCTGATGGTAAAGAGTACAGATCGAAGTGGCACGAAGAGAGAGAAATGCTTTTGAAGGATTTTAGAAGGATTCTTGATACGGAGCCTGAGAATTGGCAAGCAGTTGTCTCATCCTTTCAAAGGATAAAAAAGGTATGGTTTCTATGAATGGGTTTGCTCAGTAATTGGAATCCTAGTTGATTGTGATCATTCTAGAATCTAGGTTACATACCAAAGATGCTTATCGGTCTAGAAGTTAGAAAACCACAATTAATATCTTGATTTTTGAGTTGTTACATTCCAAGTCTAGAAAATCGAAAGTTCGAATGATACTTGTTGAAATACTTGGTCTTCTAATGGGTTCGAGATTGACTTTTTTTTTTTTGGGTCTGGGTTTTGCTAGTTCTTGTGGTGATAGTTTAGTTTTAAACTGATTATTCCTTGAGATGAGAGTTTTATTGAGAAAGTATTTTTCTTCGTCTAAGTTTTCACACAACTTTTTGTTCTCAAATTTTTTCTCAAATTGTTAATTTTAAGTTATTTTTTTCTTTGAAAATTGAGACTTGGCTTTTACCGTCAATTTTTTCAGACTTGCCTTATCGCCATAGAAACTTTTCTTTCTTTTCTTTTTTGTTTTACTGGCTAAGTAGAGTTTTTATTATCGCAGCCTTCTAGAAGAGAGTTTGGCTTAATGGTTAACTATTATGCGAAGAGGGGTGACAAACATCATGCTCGTGCAACCTTTGAGAGCATGAGAGCTAGAGGAATAGAGCCAAGCTCATATGTTTATACCAAGTAAGATTAATCTTCTTTTGGTGTGGTTCCTGTTTGGTTAGCTCAAGTTCTTATCAGCTTAGTGAATGACTGCAATGTAGGATGGGCCAAATTCTTAACTTGTGTTAATTTCTCTCTACTACGGCCTTATAATTCCAGTGTTGTAGGTACACTAACTGCAATTTGTACTGAATTTTATTATGTAATCTTTGGTGATTGGAAGTGCTGGACCTGTCAAGCCTAGATGGTCTAGCCTGAACTGGTTAAACCCATTGAATTCATGAAAATTATGTGCTTGGAGTTGTTTTTATTTAAGAAACTTTGACTGTATTGGTTAACATTTTTCTTACCTACGTTCTTCCTGCAAACCCAAATGGGTATGGGGGTTTCAAGATGCAAATTGAGCTATTGGAATAAGAGCATTTTTCAACCTGATTTTGTTGAAAAGAAACTGCTCTCTTTCTTTCACATTTCAATAAAGTTCTTTTTGGATTTTTTGTTGCGTTCTTCTACAAAATGAACTTTGCTCGTATCTTTTTCCATCTCTATTCCCATCCTGCGGCTACTTCTTTAGCTCGTAAAAAGAGGATGTAGTGGAGAAACAAATGTTATCTTGTTAAATTAATAAATTTTAGGGGTGGGAAACATCTTGTGAGAGAAGATATGACTTTATTCCAAATGCAAGCATATGTAAGTGACAGTGTCCTAAGTAAAAAAGAAACATGATTTAGCTACCTAGAGATAAAGGCATTGTGAGTCTACATTGACAAATGCGTTTGCTTGCATAGAAGTTGAAGTTATATTTCTGGATCGGAATTTTTAGGATGAAAACAGAAAGTAATTTCCATTCAAAAAAGAATTGTTAATTGTTGTAGTTGAACTGTCTCATAGATATGGAGCATCATATGTTAGAGACGTTTTTTCAAATTTGTTCTGACAATGGAAATGTTTGTTAATTTCCGTTCTTTTACTTCTCAGTTGATCTAACCATGCCATGAGGGTCTTGCGCATTGAACTGTGCATGTTAACTTTGTCAGCCTCAATCATGCAATGGGGCTAGATGATTTACTTGCTGGTTGTGTCTTGTATTTCGGACATTTACTTTGTGTTGCTCCTTGTTCTTCTTCTTCCGGTGAAGTATGCATGATCTGTCATATGTATAGATTTTAGTTTTCCAAAAGAATAAGCGAGATAAAGATGGACTTCAGATACATTTATGCAGCATTGATGTTGGTGGTTTATGTTTCATTTTTAGTTTGCAGGATGCAGAATTTAATAATATATCTGGATTTCAGCTTGCTTTTGAGATTCAGGAATCTTTTTAGTTGATAGGTGTTGAACTCATTTCTTTTGTGTTTTTCTTTTATTTGCTTGCTTTTGTTTTCTTATCAAAGTTTATTTGCTATGCAGCCTTGTTCATGCTTATGCAGTTGCTAAAGATATGCGAGGAGCCATTTTTTGTGTTGAGGAAATGAAAGCAGAAGGCCTTGAAATGAGTTTGGCAACGTACAGTATTCTCATTGCAGGCTTTGCCAGTATTGGCAATGCTGAGTGAGTAGGATCTATACATTTTCCCTCAACTTTCAATGCAATCCCATGACAAATTGTGCTTATATTGCACGGATCTTGCCCTTATATCATTGCCCTTTTAGTATTGAAGTAGCCTGGGGGGATTTGTCTGGAGGGGCTTCAACATTAATGAGCTTTTTTGATATAGTTTTAAATGCGGCTGTATAACGCATTTTGGGGTTGCACAATACGTTATGCAGCCTGGAGCACGTGGCGCATCACCTGCTTATGTGACTGCTTTGCCCTCATTGCATCACGAGCGATGCACCCATATATGCACTCTGTGCTCGTGGGCAGAAAATAAGCGCACGAGCAGGGGTAAAATTTACTTTTCCCCCCTTGAAAAGGGATGGAAGGATTTTGGGGTTATATACCTCTCCAAAAGGGGAACAAAGTCAAAAAAGCACACTAAAACCATTTGACATAGTTTTAAGGTGATTAAGCCAGTATAACGGGGAATGTTACGCATGCCCACAAGCGACTGAGGAGATTGGAGGAGAAATTAGGGCATACAAAGATAGCCAATAAAGGAAAAATAGAAGAAGAAAATGGATAGAAGAAATTCAAGTATTTGATGATTTATCTGATTTAGAGTCGACAGCCTATTGTCTTTTTCTTTTATATCTCATAATCGTTTAGTCTTTGCCTCTTTGGTGTTTGAAGTTTAAAGTTTGAAACTTTGGATATTTTTTGTGCGATGAAATGGATTGGTTTGTTTTTTACATGTTAATTCTGTTATACATTTAACTATTCATCATTAGAAATTAGAACAACAAACCCTATTACTCTTTAGCAGGCTATCAGGGGACTTAGAGTCTCATACCACTAATTTATTATAGATATTGAATAAACTAAAGAACCTACTATCAGTATCACATAAATCTCATTTATGTTTTCTCCAAGTATTTTTATATTTTTCGTGATTTTTAAAAATATTTTAAATTTATTCCCCTCATTAGAGGTGACATGCCTGCATTGAGCCGCATCGTAACCCTGACAACATCAGGTCCACATCTCACATTTTAAAACACTTTTTTTTATAAGTTGAAAATTTTAAGTCATTGTTTGAATCTTTTCATGTAGAGTTGGTCTTACTTCAATGAATCTCTTGTTCTCTTGTCCATATTCAACCCATGAGTTGCATATCTTTTTGTTAAATTATAATCCGTTCCTTGTGAAGGATTTTGAATTGGTCAGATAATTTCAAAGCTTTATTCTTGAATCTTGTTCCAGAAAAGCAATGACTCTCTTTTAAAAATTTGACTTTCCATCAATGGGTTGTTGATATCCAATTTATTTCGCATTATCAAGAAACATAACTAGTGACAAAGTCAAAGTTGGAATCAGTTAAAACCCATAGTCTTTTGTGAATTTATTGAGATATTCCTTCCATTTGATGTTTAGATTGGTCTTCGCATTTCATCTTATATAATAGTATAATTGCAATTCAATATTTTCCATTCCATAAATGCGTGCTAACAATCTAAAACATGCCCCCTCAAATTTCATCGTGAACTAGTTGTAGTGCTTTTACATTTCATATATCCACATGCAATTGTGCAGTTGATTCATTGCCAGAGATAGCTTAGCACCAATAGTGCATTATCTAATGGATCTTTCCGTTGTACTATGCCATCCGAGAATTAGGAGTATTTATAATATTAGTTCCTATGGAACTAAACACTATTGCATTAAATGGCAAAGACATTGTTGAATAAAAGATGGCTCTTCCCTGATGAAATGAAACATTTGATTTATGTCATAGGAGAAAGATTCCCATTCCTTAGCCGGAAAGAAAATATATGGGGCCATGAAAGAGGGATCAAGTGGAATTGACTGGGTAGAATTCCGAATTGTCGTAGATATCTTTCCTTGCCCTGTAGTGGTATTGTATCCAGAAAATATGTTCATAATCCAATGATAAGAAAGAAGGAAGCTTCTTATTTTTTACTTGTTTTGCTGTAAGTAATATGCCTATTGCTACATCTCCTGATGGAAGTCGTAGTGGAATAGTTCATCTCATATGGAGATCTTGTCGAGATTTCTTTGTGGCATCCACTTGAAATGTTTGAACCATAGATGCAGGGAGCTTGGTTTGTAGGGTAATAATCCCCATCAAAATCTCCCTCCGGCGATCCCGGGGCTGGAGCCTGAGTGGAGCTTGCTCCTCCCATCACGGGTGCTCGATCCCTATTTTATAAGGATCTCGATCCTTGACTAAAAAGGTTCTTGATTGCTTTGGAAGGGAATGGTGACCTGCTGGAAATGGGGTCTGATCATGGTTTGAAGGGATCTCTTTCCGAGTGGAAGTTTTAGAAGTTGTGGAATTTTGAACCAGAAGCCTTAGATTTTGTGCTATATTTTTTATGCTTTTTGTTATTTTCTAGTTAACAACCCCTTGTAGACAATTTTTGTTTTCCTTTCTCATGGTTGTGGTTTGCCCTAAGTGGTTGAGAACTGAAAAACTGACTCGAAATTGCCCTAGTTGGCTTTGACGTGTGGGGCCTCCTTGGTCCCAGATAATCCCAAAGAGGGGAATTGCCAAGGTTCTGAACCGGTGGGTCTCACTATAGTGAATTGCCTTGTCTCGTCTGTTTAGGGACTTTGGTGATTCTTAGGTTCAACTCTTATCATGGCCCTCGAATCTCATTTTTTCATTATTTTTTATGAGACTTTTTAGGCTACTGAGTGCTCATTTGCCATATGTAGGTAATTCTAAAAAGCAGATTATGCTTTTCTAAATTTTTTAAATCACTTGTGTGTGTGTGTGTGTGTGTGTGTGCGCGCGCGCAACATAGTGTTCCCTAAGCAATACACATACATAATACAAATATCAAGCCGCTTCCAAGCCTGATTCCTGTACAACACTCCTTGGTGCTCCATAGGTAGGGAGCTTTACCTATGGGTCAATCTGAGCTCTTGCTCCCACATTCGCTTCTGCTCTCTACAACTATAGTTTGAATTTTTGAGTTATTTTATTTTTGCGTTTAGGATAGTGTTCCCTAAGCAATACACACATATAATACAAATATCAAGCCGCTTCCAAGCCTGATTCCTGTACAACACTCCTTGGTGCTCCATAGGTAGGGAGCTTTACCTATGGGTCAATCTGAGTTCTTGCTCCCGCATCCGCTTCTGCTCTCGACAACTATAATTTGAATTTTTCAGTTATTTTATTTTTGCGTTTAGGATCGTTTGAGGCCATTATCATATGTTCATATGGATCTTGTCTTTAACGTTGTTTATGTTGTTGCTGTTCCATCTCCTCAATGATGCATTCCTTTTAATATACTATTGTCTTTGTTTGGAAGTGATGCAGAAAAATGGTTCGAAGAGGCAAAGAGAACACATACATCCTTGAATGCTATTGTCTATTGTAATATCATCTATGCTCACTGGTGAGTTACTCATGAAGATATACAGGATACAAATATCCTTTATTTTTATTTATTTTGGTAAGTAATGGAGTCTTCGATTGCTTTCTCTTTGGCTTTCATATTTGTAAGCATTGTTGCTCCACGAAGGCTTCTAAGAGATCACCCATATTGTTCCTGCATAAGCATGCCTGTCCTTGGTGTTTTTTTGATTACAAATGAAGGCTTCTAAGAGATCACCCATATTGTTCCTGCATAAGCATGCCTGTCCTTGGAGTTTTTTTTATTATTACATGAAGTCCATAGATCTGTTCTAATTAAGTAATGTCTCTGGCTGTTTTATTTGAGAACATTGTTGTTATTCTTAATCACCTATCTTCGGCCAAGGGGTAGAACTTCTGTAACTTGATTATTGAGAAATGATTAAAAGTAAAACTCATAGGGGGCCCACAAGAACGATTCCAGAAACTGCAAGCAGGAATATTTTTACACAATAACTGTGTAGACTTCTGTTAGTTTATCCTTAAACCTTCTATAGGACCAACTTAGCATCTCAGGCTCCTCCAAGCAATCTGATTCCTACAGAAGCAGTTTACCATGTCCAAATGCACATCATATTACCATGAAAGAGCTATGAAGAACATTTTCAATTGCAACAACATTCGAATCAGCTACTTTTTTGTTGAATTGCATAATCCACCATGATTTAGTAGTGTGAAAGAAAAACAATAGTCCAATATGTGACAGAGGAACTGCTGATGGTAGTTGTAAAAGGAGAGAGAAATATAATTGGACTACAAGTAAGCATCATCAGAAAATTTGAAGGGAATATCAAACATAATTCCATTTCAGAGACTGGTGCTATATTAATATATCATGTTAATTTGAAGGGAAAAGACTTCCGTATGATCTTTATTGATCTAGAAAAAGCTTATGATAGAGTACCTCGAGATTTAATTTGGTGGGTATTAAAAAAAAAAAGAGTCTTCAGATACTATATCGACTTGGTGAGGGATAAGTACGAGGGAGCGCTAACTAGTGTGCGAACAACTAGTGGAAAGATGAGTGAGTTTTCAGTGACAATAGTTCACATCAGGTTCAGTGTTGAGCCCATACGTTTGTCTTAGTTATGCAGGACTTAACTGGGCACCTACTAGATGAGTTACTGTGGTATATGTTGTTCACGGATGACATATTTTTGATCAATAAGATCCGAAGCGGCATCAACACAAAGTTAGAGTTTTGGAGGGATGCTCTAGAATCTAAAGGTTTTCAAATCAGCCGGACTAAGACAGAGTATATAAAATGCAAATTTATTAATAATAGGAGTAGAGTCGAGGAAGTAGTTAAGATTGACAACCTAGAAATATAAAAAAGAGCACACTTTTGATATCTTAGTCGATAATCCAGAAAAATAAATAGATTAATGATAGTGTTGCACACAAAATTAGAGCTAGGTGGACGAAGTGGAGATGTGCAACTAGAGTTTTATGTGATCACCACAGACCAATGAAGCTGAAGGGGAAGTTCTATAGGACAGCTTGAAGACCAGCTTTGCTTTACAGGGTGGAATGTTGAGCAATCAAGAACAACATACGCATAAGATGAATGTAACTGAGATGATGATGGTAAGATGGATAAGTGGTAAGACAAGAAATGATTGAATTCGAAATGAATACATTGAGGACAATTTAGGTGTGGCTCCAATATGCAATAAGATGAGAGAAAGTAGACTTATGTGGGCTGACCATAGGTAGCGCTGACCTTATACAACACCTATTAGGAGGTGCAAGTTGGTTCAAGTGGAAGGCTAAAAAAAGGCAAGGGGTAGGCCCAAAAGCATGTGGTTGGAAGTAGTGAGAAAAGATATAGGGACTTATGGCCTCACTAAAGGTTGACCCTTAAAGAGCAGCGGGCTAGGATTCGTGTAGTCGACCTCAAGTAGTAGGGAAAAGGCTATGATAATGATGATAATTTAGGTAAAGTATTATACTAGCCGAGACAACCCCCCCCCCGGGCAACCCAATCAAAAACAAAATAAAAGTGGGGATTTCATTATATACTTTGCAGTTTCTTTTCTTTCAAGCAGCATACCTATACGAGTTAAGCTATCAAGGAACCCCCTTTGTACACCACATCCCCTTTACTCATCTTTTCTACCCAAATACTCCATTGTGAATATCCTACTTCCACTCAAGTCCAAATACCTCTCAGCAGCTCTCTCTCTCTCTCTCACTAAAAGCATCCCCTTCTCTCTTATTTCTATGAAACCTATCAGATCTTTCTCTAGGAGATTAGTTTGTTCTCAAGTTGCTTGGATCTCACTAAAGTACACAAAGCCAGAACTTTTGATAAAGCCTGAATCTCCAGGACTTTTGATAAAGCCTGAATCTCTCCATCTCTCTCTCTCTCTCTCTCTCTCTTTCTCTCTCTGCTTAAGATTAGCGGGTTGTCCTTACCATTGTTCTAGATCTGGGTCTTTGGAAGGTCCAGGGTCCTTTCCCAATGAAGAAATGATCAACAAATCCGCAAAAAACAACTCACCCTTTGTTGGGATTATGACAGACCTCTGTTATCTATTGATAAATTTTGTTGATGGCCTAGGCTATGGAAAGTGGTTATTGAGACACGTCCATTTCTTCCTTTCTAATCTCCCATATGGAAAATAAGAAGGAAACAATAAAGAAAACCTTGTTGAGTAACGCTTTGGTGGTATTGAGTTCCACTAAATGATAGATATTGCAATACATGGCTTGCTGGTTGAAGTTGTAGTTTCCTGGTGACAGAGTTCATAACTCTCTTAGCAAGATTACAATCCAATGTTGGACCATTTTCTGTGAGCCACATTGAGCATAGGTCCCAAGGAGAGGAAATAGGAGGCCTGTTTTCTTTTCACCTCACATTCCACTGGAAGTCACCCATGCATGACCTGGCACAAAAAATTGAAACCATAGTTAGGACCAAAAGAAAGCCGAATAAACTTTGCCCTAGTCTTATTAGCCACTGGCTCCGGACACGAATGAAAGGCCAAGGCCAATCTGATTTGAAGGGAAAAAATTCCCAGAATTTTTAGCTTCCCATTTAAGTATGTCTGGTAATGGGCGTGATGGCTGTCAGACTATGGCCATTCAGATAACCATATTAATGATCACATGAGAGCCCAAGTTTGATATTTGCCATTCTTGGGCTACACCATCAATATGTTGAAACGTAGACAATATGATATAGTCAAGTATATACAGTTAAAATTTTTCGCACTGTCTTTTATACATACCGACTAGAACACTTAAAGGCATCCAAGAATACAACTTTAATTTACAAAAATAAACCCTCGTACAATCTACGATGTTCACTTGCATGCCATTGCAATTCCTACATTAAAACAATACACATGATTGAATCAAGAAACATGGAACCATTAGAATTCTAAATTACCTTTGCCTAGGGTTACCCCTAAGTACTCGATACACCCCACTCTGGGTCTTCTTCATTGATGACACACGCGATCGAGATCCTCAACCTTGTTTCACAATGTGGGAAGCCTGGGCAAGCCCTAACTATGAGAGCACAATACCAAAAGGGATGGGGACCTCCTTTCTTTCTCTAGGGTTTTCTCACTATATGGGGGACGCCACCTCTCTTTTTTTACATGGGGCGTGGCACCCCGTTCTAACCCTAATCTTAGAGAGAGAGATTAGATTTGAGAGAGAGAGAGAGAAGTCGTGGAGAGATCTCTGTCTCTACATATAAAGACTATTCGTAATAGAAGGCTAGTGTTTTTGGGACCTAAGGTTTGCCATCTTAGTGATACTTAATCTTGATCATTGACCTTAGGAGACTTATGGGTGAAGAGGTCTTGGCCACCCAATCCCTAGATTAGCAATCATGATTGAAGGGAAGGTACTAGAACCATTATCCCTCAATTTCCTAAACCCATTCCCATCAAATATTTTATAGATAGGAAATGAAGTGTCATATCATTTCCAATATTTGATTTCAATCAACTAACTTGGTCAAAGAATTAAGACCAAGATGTGAGAGGGAGAGAGGTGGGGTGAGAGAGAGAGAGGGGGGGTGGGGAGAGAGAGGAGGGGGGGGTGGGAGAGAGAGAGAGAGAAGAAAGAGGAGGTGGAGTGTGTCACCCATGTGTGGCCCTTGTGGGCCCCATGTCTGCATCTAGGTGGGTCCCACTTGGCTGACACCCATCCCAAATGGACCCCTATACTCTTCGATGATTTTTAAAATTCATAAAAGAATTTTTGAAACCCAATAAGTATTTTTAAATGCCTCTGTATTTATAAAATTTTGAAAATTCAATTCAAGCTCTCTAAAAATTCCTTATAAAATAAATTTTACATAGCATTTTAAAAATTCATTTTTAATGTTTCAAAAATTACTTAATACATAATTAAATAAAATTTGATGGGAATTGGATCCATAGGATCAAGTATAATATATCTATTGAGGCACTCCATCTTTTCTAACAACTGTGCACTGCTGACATCTTCTCAAACTGATCCAATGGAACCCATGACCCACATTCCATTGCAGGGCTTCATGACTGGTCCATAAAAGTCAACCAATAAATTAAAAGAACACGATCCTAGTTCATGGATTTTAGGTTGTTCCCTAAAGACAAGTGCATGTCCCATTCTGTACACTACATCTTAGGACCTTTCAACACAAGTCAGTGTTGCAGGGAGACATTTTCTTCTATATATGTGCATGACATGCCCCGAATCCATTGCTTCCCGGACAACTATCTAGTGTACATGTTGTGTGATGGTAATGATGAGGATTTTGGTCCTTGTCCTCTAAGGCCAGCCACCACATAGAGGGGTCACACAGTCTCCTGGCCAACTACACTGGGCATCTTTCCGACCTCATCAAGGGATGAACCCAAAACGAAACGCTTATTGGTTGCACCTTATGCCTAGGGCTATCGGGTTTAGACATCAACCTTTGCCTAGCTAGTCGAAACCTAGGTGATTTACGGCAATAAATGCCTCCTCTGGTCCCTTTGGGCTGTAATCTTGGTCCCTATTGGAGTTAGCATATCCCTGTAGTCATAGTTTTATATGCTTTTATAAGGCCTTTAAATGGCGGCATAACCCCAACATATGTTGCCCAAATTGAAGTCTGCAATAGATGCACCTGCAAAAGTAACAACTTGAGATGGTTCCTTTGACCAATTAACCTGCCCAAAAAAGAATAGACTTGCCATACTCACTAAACATCGAGAATTATTCAAAACCAGCGGAGACATATTTTGCACCATGCCATAGAACAATCCTTTTTGTTGTCACGGACCACGGGAATCTCGTGCCTCAAATTCCTATTATTAATAGGATCAACCCCGATGTTTCTTTGGGTAGGTTCCAAGCAAATTTGTTCATACTGGCCTGGGAATACCCTATTCCTCCATCCTTCTAAAGCCCAAAACCCCTTCATCTTTAGTTTACAAATAGTATATTAGGATAATCGTTGTTCTCTACAAACTGGAAAACACACTTATCTTTCACGAGAGAGCGATTTGAACAGGTTTTAGAGAGAGGAGAGTAGGGAATTGAGAGAGTGAGTGGCTGAGTGTGAGTGGGTGTGTGTGTGTGTGTGTGAGAGAGAGAGAGAGAGAGAGAGTTTTGGATTTGAAGGGAAATATGTTTTCAAGGGTATATTTGGCAACAAAAACAGGAGAAAAGGGGATGGGATGTACGGAATGGGGTCCTTAAAATCTTAACTGAAAGAGGTTTGCTGCTTGAAGCAAAGGAACTTACAAGGTTTAAACTGAAATTCTGAATTTTGAGGGAGCTAACATGATAATTTCCCTCTCATTTCTTTCATAGTTAACTTATTGACAATTTTAAGTAAACTTGAAAGTGACTAAGTTTCTTCTGTATCTAATGTATGTATTTATGCTCTTATTATCTTTTCCTTGCAAATTTGAAATGTATCTATCTATTTTGCTATCTGCAGCCAATCTGGTAATATGGGGAGAGCAGAAGACATGGTAAAGGAAATGGAAGAAGAAGGCATTGATGCACCAATTGATGTATATCACTCTATGATGGATGGATATACTAATGTTCGGGATGAGGCAAAGTGTTTAATTGTCTTTCAAAGGCTTAAGGTAAGGGAGTTGAAACATTTCCAGTCATGGTTGTGTGATTCTTTCCTGTGATCATTTTTTATCCTCTTTGCTTTTTTTTTTTGGTTAAATATTGATGAGATTGGTGGTGGTTTAGTTCTTAGATTGTCACATGTTAAAAGTTCCTTAGGTCAATAAATATACAAACAAGCACATATTCTCAAAAAAAAAATAAAAATACAAACATAAAAAATTTAAAATAGCAAAATTGACAAAAAGCAAAAGATCCGTTGTATTTTGGATTACTAGTTATGTTCACTAAGCTCAATTTGGATAATGAGAAAAACCACAAAAGAAAAAAAAAATGTTGAGGCACAAGCTGCAGGAGTAAAGTAATGTGTTTACCTTATGCACTTAGCACCGTCCAAAAGAATAAGAGAGAGAGAGAGAGAGAGAGAGAGAGAGAGAGAGAGAGCATGAACGTCCGGACGCGACGACGACCC